TTACCCTCAAAATTAAAATAAGTAAGTTCTACAAAAAAATAAACACTAAAGTGGCAAAAGTATAGGTCTTCAAATATTCCTAACTAAAACATACCACTTATGGGTATTTTTAATTGAATATCCATTAAAAAAATCAAATATTTGCTACCATGTTAAGCAGACAGTTGCCATTATTAAGTTCAAATAAAATATTAACATCTTTCTGTCCAGCTTCAAGATGTAATTACGCTTTTCTTTTTCCTCTAAAATTTTACATGCTCAAATCTGATCATAGTATTGTTTGCATTTAAAAAGAGTACCTAAGGGCCAAAGAAAAAAACATACGTGGCAAAAAGTCTGACCAAAAAAAGTAAAAATTAGCCTGAGTCAGGTGTCAAATCAATATCCTTATACTAGCATTCTAAAAGTTCCAATTCTACTAATTGAGTACTTGAAAAAAATACATGAAATTGTAAAGCCTTGTAAAATGTCAAAAATTAGAATCTACAGAAATAAAGTTGCATGAAATCTTTTAAAAACAAGACCCATCTGAAGGTAGGTGACAGCTTAATTAACAAACAGAAAACCAATTTTCTCAGTTTAAGTTTTATTAACTGTATTTTTGGCTCTCCAATTTACACAGAATCAATCAACCATAAACAACTTATCTATTCTATTTAAGAGATTGAGTTTGTATGTAGGTAAATCAGAAGGCAAAGAATCATGAAACACTTGCTGAACTATAGCTTTAGAAATTTTAGATCATTCATAATTTTGCCATTTTAAATTTCCATGAGAAATAAAAACCTTCCTCAGGAGTATTCGGAAATTTTTAGGGACTCATGATAAGGCCAAAGGACTAAAACCTGCTAATATCCTATAAATACGAAATTGAGGTAGTGAATAATTATTGGCAAAACGAAATAACTTATTTAGAGGCAGCTTATAAATAAATACATAAGAACAATACCTCTATTATAAAAGAATTCTTGAAAACTAAAAATTTGAAGCTAGAAAATAAAATGCAAAAGTGTTTTCATTGATAATACAATTGACTGCCTACCTGAAAGCTAACAGGAGAAAAGTCTGGTTCAGTTAATCTATTACTTGACAATTTTCTTTAGGCTTGGCCTTTCTGGTGAATTAAAGAAAAAGAAGCAGAAAGACCAAGGAAAGACTTTCAAAACTGCGTCTACGGTAATGGCAAAGAAAAATAAAGACAAGAATACTGAAAATTGGCCTGGAATACACAAATAAACCATCAGTGGACAAAGCCTCAAAAATATTTTTAAGAAAACTTACTCTTCAATACTATCCTAAGTCCTTCTTGTTTTGACTGTCATGAATTTCAAGGCCAGACTCTCATTCTTTATTTAAAAACAAAGAAAACAAAAAAACCCACTTCCTTACAATTTCAGTGGTTCAGTTTTTATGACATGAATATGGTTAAAATGCCACATTCCAAAGCATCCATTACTATCAAATGTCGTATTATTTTAAGATGTTACTCATAATTATATGTGTAAAAATAAAGCTATTCTTTTCAAAGAAGTAGATATTAATAATTATCTTCTTTATGTTTTGTGACTATATTTATAAAAATAAATGTTATATCTATAGGCCTTTTAAAAATGCCCTTTCTTTACCTCGGAAGTAGCCCTGGTTCTAGAATTAGATTTCTTTTCACTGTTTTCATAAAATCTGGGGTCATTTTATAAATTTCTTGCCTAACACAAAAATAGGTTATTAAAGGTAAGTTTAAAAAATGCAAACAAGAATCAGGCAAAATGTTTTCATCAATCTGGCAAGAAATCTCTCAGACAAAAATACTATCTACAAAAATTGTAAACTATTAACTTTTAAATGTTGTTATTTTCCTATTTTTCTTAATAATAATAATTTAGTGATTTAAATAAGCTAATTCTATTTTAAGGAGTATGAAACTAATTTGCTTTTTAATCAATTTGTATCATAAAACATTTATAAAAGTGCAGAGATTATCAAAATACAAATAGGAGAGGGAAAAATGATAAATTTCATACATTGAGAAATATGCAAGAATAAAGCAAAAATGCTGTTTTCTAACCTAGAAAATAAGACTAGCAAAATCAAACATTTTAAATAAGAAGCTAATAGACAGATATATGTGCTCCAATATAAGCATATCAGCTGTTCTTAAGATTTTTTCATAATAAAAATCTTAGAATTAAATCCAGAAATAAAAACAATGAATTAAAAAATGCTTATACTGCATGAGGAATTGGATTACAAGCTACTAATGTCACTTTCTATTCAAATGCGTTAAGATGTTATTCCTTTTAATTTGAGCATGAAATGAAATATGTCTACATGCAAAAGTAAATCCTAGATTTCATAGCTACAGTATGATTAAATCAACAAAATGTCAATCTCTGAACAAGATAACTTCTGAACTATACAAAATTTTCACACTTTAATTGTAGTAACTGAAAACGATCAGCATTCACATTCTCTTTTAACTTGAACGCCAAAAACAGGAAGAAAGGCTTGGATGGAAAGCTAATAAGGAACAGAAACAAATCTGGGGAAATAAAAAAAAAAAGAAAAAAAGAAAAGGTGAGTGGAAGCGCCTTACCAGTTTTGGGTGTCAAACTCAAATCTGTGTCAGAAGAAGAGGACTGTCGACTGTAGGACTTGGAAGGTGAAAAGGAATAAGTTTGGTTTTTCAGAGGGGTTGAGGGTCCTGATGAGTGAGTATTGGGGTTGGGATCTTCATTGAAGGGAATCCTGCCAGAAGAAGGTGGAAAAATATTAAGTAATCATGTGCCAAAGGACTCGACGGCGGCAGCATGATCCAAACACCAGGAAAGTATTGGGCAGGGCCAGCAGTCATTTCTTAAGAGTGGAGCT